CACTGATGAATCTATTAAAACTAGAACAAACAATCATCGACGAACGATATTATAATAATAATTAACGGGAGATTTCATCGAACGTGGACACACACTTGCGATAGGAGAAAACAACGCTGAGGCAATCTTAAAACTATGGACTTTTTGATCATGCATAAAAAAAGACAGAAAGAAATCCCTCTGATCTGTTATCGAATGCTGTACGCATACATTCTGCGATGTGCATTACTACCACCATACCTCGGGATTTAACCGACCGTTCTTTCGGCATCGGTGCTACCTACCTTTTAAGCGGATAGAGGTGAACAATACCGATGTTGATAAGGATCGTCGGACGTTCTTGAATGGCGGAGAAACGCTAAATCCGATAAAAGAACGTTGAACGGGGGTTGAACTCGGTGTATTGCAAACGTACTACATTCGATCCAGGCTTATATATTTCTTTTTCACGTTGGCATTATTATATCACGATATTAATTATATAAATAGCCCACAAATTAAAGGTGCTTTATAAGTTGAAATGAATACATATACATAATATAGAGAGGGAATACCTAAAAAATCTCTGGGCATGATCAAACACTCTAAGTGTTGTCTAAGCGTGTTGTGCTTTCTTTGTTGGAATCTCAGATAATGCTGGACAACAGCAGCAGGAAGCTGCTCAACTGCAAACTTCGCCCGCGGCCCCCACCGTGACGAAACCAGATCCGCCAGATGTACTTCCCAAGGCTAAATGTTTGGACGCTTTAGCTGCACTCAGGCATGCCAAATGGTTCCAGGTTTGAATCCATCAACTCACAAGTTCAACTCAAGATCTCGAATTGTCGAAGCGCCCACGTACTTGTTTGGCGCGATATATATATTTATATATATTTATATATATATATAATGGATTTTCTTTTATTTTCTCCTGACGAGAAACGCGAGACAAGTTGTTCTCTCTCTTTCTCTCCTTTTTAAAAGAACCGAATCGAAAGACGAAAAGACAAGGAAAAAAAGGGAAAGCAGTCTTAGAAACTTCCAGCCTTGTGACGGTTTTATTTTTATCATTATTCGACTTATACGATTCTGTCTGAATTGCCTATTTGATCTCACGTTCGATATTCGTCGTTTTTTATATCCGCTGAACTTTCGAACACTAAGTGCCAGTCGGTCATGTCCACTGTCTTCTTTAGAGTTACGTTTAGATTTTACGTTTGTGTTTCGCGCGCGTGGACCTACGCCCACACTATACATTATGATCAAAGAGAAATTGTTCGAAATAATATATAGATATATATAACAGTGGCATCGTCCGCACATTGGCTATCCGAAAACATAATCGAACGTATCGAACACGCGATCAGATATTTATCAGGCAAGAAATCTCGAACAAGTAAGCAACATGTAAATGTGTATCTCGACAGTCATTTGTGCAACGCTGCTAGATGCTGCATTTACATTTGCTTGGCTTTACAAATCTCTGCAAACACATCCAGAATAATAAATAGGAAACTTGTTTTCTTTTACGAGAAATCAGTCAATTCGAGTATGTGGATTCATTATTTGCGTCTCTTAGAATGTATGTAATTTTCTTTATTTTCTTTATAACGCAGATCGCACGATTGCGCTTTACGTCATTCAAACATATATAATTAATTATTCTGGATCGTCCTTAATGCGTTGTAGCCTAGGCTGCGTCTGTTCTAGGTCTGTCTTAATTTGAAAGTCAATTCGTCATATGTAGCGTACACAGCTTTTCTAAGATTATGCATTTTGTTCTATTTGTAATACTTGTATTTATATATAATATATGTGCGTTAACTGCACAGCTTTTGAAGATTAAAAGAGACAGACAAGCACAAACACACAGTAGCGCGTCATAAGTGTACCGGGTGTTTCTGTAAAGTAAAGAGTCGAGATACTAAAGATACTATGACATGAACAGTTTTTGAAAAGACATATATAAGCTCTAGCTTTTTTTATCATTGCGATAGGTAATTTACGTTTAGGAAAAGTGATAAACACCCGGTAATATTGATATGGGCTAATAAACTATTAGGGGCATTAGGCACGAGGCTGGGAGGATAGCTAAAGCCCACACAAAGTAAATTAAAGAATTAGTTTAGGCCGTCTTATTTCTCCAAAAGAAACCAAAAGTGCTTTCATCGCCGTATGTTAAATCGTAGTTTTTTAAAATAATTAATCCTGTTCAACAGGCTAGAGCAACTTCACTGCAGAGCTGCGTTATGGTTATCCGTATAATGCGCGACCTTTGCAATCGTGTGCCAACGTGGGGTCCGTTAAATCCTTGGGTGAGTATAGGATGTGTATTATTTCTCACGTGTACTTGTAACACGCAATCTTGAAAAAAATTTGTAATAATTTTGATGTGTATACAGGCATTGGAGTTACTGACAGAGAAAGTAATAAGTACTGCAGGTGGCCCTCTAAGTCCGGGTGAAGCTTTGAGAAGACTTTTGGAATGTGTAGCAGGAGGAATATTGCTACCAAGCAGTCCAGGTAATATTCGAGAATCTCTATAAATATATATATATATATATATATATATACACATTATATTTGATCATCGATTCCTCTTTATTTTTGTTATGATGAAAAAGATGACGAGACTAAGCATATTGTGATGGATGATTGCCGATCAAGTACGAGTGTTTCGTTATCTTGTATCACAATCGTTACATTTCACAATAATGCATTGATGAATTGGCAAACTGAACAAAATTTTAACGATGCTGATCGAATTCAACGGATAACGATGATTGGTAAATAATGCGTAGCTTTGTGCTTTGCAGGTTTATCCGATCCGTGCGAGAAGGAGCCGGTAGACGCGATAGGAAATATGACGTCTCAACAGAGAGAAGATATTACCGCGTCCGCGCAACACGCGTTGCGATTAGTGGCGTTCCGTCAGATTCACAAAGTCTTAGGTATGGAGCAACTGCCTCCTCCGAAATTCAAGGGACGATTTGCCAGAAAACGAAGACGTGATAACAGCAACGGAGAGGGCACCGATAGCGAAGCTTCGAAAAAGGACAAGAAAGCGGAAGAGATCAAAATGGAAACAGACTCGAAATAGATCTACCAAAAGATTCGTCTTTTACGAATTATATTAACTTATCGAACGTAAGAGAAGTAAAAGTTTTTTTTTTTTGCCGTATCAACTGCTTATTTAGGAAAATAAATATCCTCGGACCTTCGGGATAATTCGAAAATTAGGTGATATTCGTCCTAGGTTAAACCCCGAACATATAATCCGAGAACGAATAATATTATAATGAACGATGCGCTTATTAAGTTGCAATAGGGGCGCTCTTCGTCTTATCGCGTCCCTATTGAAAATTATTTAATTGCAATGATATGTTCCTGAGTCAGATTGTTATAATATGATCATTATTAATATAATATTATCAAAAACGAGAAATTTCGCGTGAGCTTTGTTTCTTGCAAGTTTCAGTAATTAATATGTCTGATCCGTGCGAGCTGATAGACAGGAATTAAAAATATGTAATATGCGCATCTCAAAATAAAGATAGGCAATTATAAAGTCAAGTTTGAAATTACGCGTAGATCGAATTTGTGTGTATGTGTGTGTAGTCATTACAGACTTGTAGAAAGTATACCCGTTTTCTCTCTCTCTTTTCTCTCACTTCTGCACAAAGTGACAACTATTTAGGGTGTACGCTATTACGTGCATGATTCACGTAAATGACGAGATATTTATAAGTCGAATGCTTCGAAAATGTTCGATGTGGGACAAGTGCACGTGTTTTTTAACAAATTGCCTTCTGTAGATTAACTTTATTTGCAGAAAGTCAAGCGACGGTGAAAACTTGTAAACTTTTCAATCTTCGAACATTGCCCATTAAGTGAGTTCTTACTTGTGTAGAATTTTTTCAGTTCTGTATTTCGAATCATTGAATAAAATAATACATGTACGCCGCAATTATAAGTTTACTGATATTTATTTAACAGAACTAATTTATTATCTAGCTTCCCCAATTTTCTTCTTCCCTTGAACCGTGTAATACTGCATTTCATTTTTTATATTTTATTTTGCAGAATATTATTAATGGAACATGAATTATAATTCTTAGAGATAAAGGCCAAGAAAAATATACGACCAGTTTAATCATCGATTTTCTTTAGTGAAGTATTTTTAGATATATGTAATCTAATACTATTATTTTCTGCCAATCATGTTAGCTTTATTAAATTTTGCTTTTGTACAATATCGACCAAATTATTACAGAAAGAAATATTCAAAATAATTACATATATATAATTATTATATATTCAAAATAAAGAATAAAGTCCCCAAAAGATCGAATCAGCGAAGGTGATTGCATCAGTTTTACGAACTTGACGTTGTATTCCGTGACTCTGCTATTCTATAATTTCATATTTGTGCGATTCATGTTTGTGCACATATATATAAATAATACGTCAGAGTTCAGGATGAAAATATCTCAACAAAGAAATATATGTTCAGCCATAAATTTCTTCATCGCATTTATTCTAAAAAAAAATATCTGCATTGAGAGTTATTTTTATAACATATTCTGACACAATATTAGGTGAATGACATTGTGTATAAGAAAATTTATTTCTAAACAATAGAGACTAAAAAAAAAAAGAAATTTAATTAATCTAATTTTATTTTCTTTTTAATGCAAATATATATATAAACACAAGGATTATTATCTCGAGTATGTCAGTAACCTCGAAAACCAATAATTCAAAATACAATTTTTTTAATCATCGCTAAATATAAAATAATATGTAGATAATTATATACATATGTATGGACATCGAGAATGCTCTGGAACATGACGTGTGTTCTTTGTCGCAAAGTCGATACGAAATTGCGCCATTTGCACACATGACGCAAACGACGAGCCAATCAGCGAGACCCATCGACGTTCTCGACCAATGAGACGCCAGCGCGTCATTACGCCGAGTCATCGTGATGTTATAAAAGCGAGGGTCGCGTCGTTCCAAGCTCAATAGTCTGTGTTCGAGTGAGAGATACGTTTCGTTTCGACAGCGATCCATAATTACTTGCGAATCTACGATAGCCAGAAGCTTCCACTAATAAGGTACAAAGTGCTTTCTTCTCTTGCAGAAAATTACGGAATTTTTCATCCCAGCTGAAATATTTGCGCGAGAACGAATATTATATACATCTCATTAATTTGATGAATTCGTTAAATAAATTACAAATATGCTGCATTCCAGTAAAATCTTTGCAAAAAAATGTGCTTGTTTTTATAATCGATGTCTCGCGACTTTGAATATCTTTATCTAAATTGCGTATCGTCTTGAAAATGAGTATATATACGTGATATCGATCGTCGAGTCTCTGTTGCTAAGCGGAACACAATGGATTTATCTCGAAAGATCGGTACATATCTCGGAACATAAGTCGAAAAAATTTGCTCGTTTGTGTCCGTATACAAGGCAATGAAACGAAATGAGCGAACGAACAGGATTTATTTAATGCTTCTTTTGTGACGAACGTGATTTCTCCGAATCATGAAATGGCGTGACTCATCGAAACGTTTACTGCGCAACGACATAAACTCGGTCAAAATGGCGGCTGCTGATTTTATCTGCGTCATGTCCCCCAGCTACTAGTAGCTTCGATTTTTTCTACTATTAATATATTTTAACATTTACATGCAATTTCAAATTTGATGCATGAAATATCTGCAATGATATACATTTTGAAAATAATTTTTATTATGAATACATTTTTAATATAATTATTAATAAATTTAAAAAAATTAATTTATTATAATAAATTTTGAAAATAATTTTTAATATAATTTTTAATATAATTTGAAATTTTATTACAGAGCACCATGCAGATTTTTGTGAAGACGTTGACTGGAAAAACAATAACTCTCGAAGTAGAAGCCTCCGATACTATCGAGAACGTAAAGGCGAAGATTCAGGACAAAGAGGGCATTCCACCTGACCAGCAGAGATTGATTTTCGCCGGAAAACAACTTGAAGACGGACGTACCTTGTCCGATTATAACATCCAGAAGGAATCCACTCTCCATTTGGTTCTCAGATTACGTGGTGGAATGCAGATCTTTGTCAAAACCTTGACTGGAAAGACCATCACGTTGGAGGTCGAAGCGTCAGATACTATCGAGAATGTCAAAGCGAAAATTCAGGATAAGGAGGGTATCCCTCCGGATCAGCAAAGATTGATCTTTGCTGGAAAGCAGCTTGAAGATGGCCGCACGCTTTCTGACTACAACATTCAGAAAGAGTCAACTTTACATTTGGTTCTTCGTCTACGCGGTGGGATGCAAATTTTCGTCAAAACCTTGACGGGAAAAACCATTACTTTGGAGGTGGAGGCTTCAGATACGATTGAGAATGTCAAAGCCAAGATCCAAGACAAAGAGGGAATTCCTCCAGATCAACAGAGATTGATCTTCGCAGGCAAGCAGCTGGAAGATGGACGCACCTTGTCAGACTATAATATACAAAAGGAATCAACTCTGCATTTGGTATTACGTCTTCGCGGAGGTATGCAAATTTTCGTCAAAACTCTCACTGGAAAAACTATTACATTGGAAGTCGAAGCATCAGACACAATTGAGAACGTCAAAGCTAAAATTCAGGACAAAGAAGGCATCCCTCCGGATCAGCAGAGATTGATCTTTGCTGGAAAGCAGCTTGAAGATGGTCGCACACTCTCTGACTATAACATTCAGAAGGAGTCAACTTTACATTTGGTTCTCCGACTACGTGGTGGCATGCAGATTTTCGTCAAGACACTCACCGGTAAAACCATCACATTGGAAGTCGAGGCATCAGACACAATTGAGAATGTCAAAGCTAAAATTCAGGACAAAGAAGGCATCCCTCCGGATCAGCAGAGATTGATCTTTGCTGGAAAGCAGCTTGAAGATGGTCGCACACTCTCTGACTATAACATTCAGAAGGAGTCAACTTTACATTTGGTTCTCCGACTACGTGGTGGCATGCAGATCTTCGTCAAGACACTCACCGGTAAAACCATCACATTGGAAGTCGAGGCATCAGACACAATTGAGAATGTCAAAGCTAAAATTCAGGACAAAGAAGGCATCCCTCCGGATCAGCAGAGATTGATCTTTGCTGGAAAGCAGCTTGAAGATGGTCGCACACTCTCTGACTATAACATTCAGAAGGAGTCAACTTTACATTTGGTTCTCCGATTACGTGGTGGAATGCAGATCTTCGTCAAAACCCTCACTGGTAAAACCATCACATTGGAAGTCGAGGCATCAGACACAATTGAGAATGTCAAAGCTAAAATTCAGGACAAAGAAGGCATCCCTCCGGATCAGCAGAGATTGATCTTTGCTGGAAAGCAGCTTGAAGATGGTCGCACACTATCTGACTATAACATTCAGAAGGAGTCAACTTTACATTTGGTTCTTCGACTACGTGGTGGCATGCAGATCTTTGTCAAGACCCTCACTGGTAAAACCATCACATTGGAAGTCGAAGCATCAGACACAATTGAGAATGTCAAAGCTAAAATTCAGGACAAAGAAGGCATCCCTCCGGATCAGCAGAGATTGATCTTTGCTGGAAAGCAGCTTGAAGATGGTCGCACACTATCTGACTATAACATTCAGAAGGAGTCAACTTTACATTTGGTTCTTCGACTACGTGGTGGCATGCAGATCTTTGTCAAGACCCTCACTGGTAAAACCATCACATTGGAAGTCGAAGCATCAGACACAATTGAGAATGTCAAAGCTAAAATTCAGGACAAAGAAGGCATCCCTCCGGATCAGCAGAGATTGATCTTTGCTGGAAAGCAGCTTGAAGATGGTCGCACACTCTCTGACTATAACATTCAGAAGGAGTCAACTTTACATTTGGTTCTCCGACTACGTGGTGGCATGCAGATCTTCGTCAAGACCCTCACTGGTAAAACCATCACATTGGAAGTCGAAGCATCAGACACAATTGAGAATGTCAAAGCTAAAATTCAGGACAAAGAAGGCATCCCTCCGGATCAGCAGAGATTGATCTTCGCTGGAAAACAACTTGAAGATGGCCGTACACTCTCTGATTACAATATTCAGAAAGAATCCACTCTGCATTTAGTTTTGAGGCTTCGTGGTGGTATGCAAATTTTTGTCAAAACTTTGACGGGGAAAACTATTACTCTGGAGGTAGAAGCTTCGGATACGATCGAAAACGTTAAAGCCAAGATTCAAGACAAAGAGGGAATTCCTCCTGATCAGCAAAGACTGATTTTCGCGGGCAAACAACTCGAAGATGGACGTACTCTGTCAGATTATAATATTCAGAAAGAATCTACATTACATCTTGTACTCCGTCTTAGAGGTGGAAATGTCTAATATTTTCTATAATAATTCTACAATTGTGATTTTTTTTTTGTTAAGTACTCTGCGCTAAATATTTTAATTCTATTTATACAACTCTGTTAATATAAAATAAAATTCCCTTTATATTATAATACAGTTCAAATTTTATTTATTTAATATTGTGAAAATTTTGTGAGAATATTGACAAATAAAGAATACGTTTTTTTGGTAATTATTCTGTACATCTCTTGTGTGTCTCAAACATTATCATAACCTCTTAATTTATGACTATTTTTATTTACAGAAATAATTATTAAAGATTGGATTAAAGGTATAATTAAAACATTTCTTTGTGATCATATTCGTATAAATTAAAAATTTAAAGGAGCATATCTGTGTGATAAAATCTCATTAATATTTTTTATCTTTAATAGTCGTTGAGTATATATTTATTATGTAAACTTTACTTGTATTCTTTTGAATATTTCTATTGAGGGGAAATATAAATATAAAAACTAATTGTGTAACACAAAATAATTAAACATTAATATATATTTCTATTTATTTTTATATTAAATTATATACAATTCTTTAAAATTTGTAGCATAACATTTAGAAAAAAATAGAAAGAGAATATTTCTATAATACCAGAAATAATAAAACCTATAATTAATACTGCAATTATTATCATTATTTGTATTGAATAATAATTATCATAACTGTTTTCTCATTACTTCTACTATTTAAAAATAGGGTTTTTTTCTTTTTTTTTAACGATATAATAATAACTTGCAGTAATAATTATCTTATTAGTTTAGTTATTGATGCTACTTTAAATTAATATTACTGTAATTTTAATTTTACAATTTATGAGATATTAACGTCGGTAATTTATCAACAATTGGTTGGTTTATCAGCAATAGATTGGTAACTTGTTAATTGTTGGTAAGTTATCGACGTTGATATCGCGAATTGCAGTTTCGAATTTTTGTTCGTACTACTACCTCTTTGTTCATTATATTTTTCTAATACTTTTCTAATATTTCGGAATTTAAATGTTAGCAGTTCGCACTTTATCGATGTCACTAAATTACTAACATTGATGATTCTTGGTTTATAGATTTAAATTTCGTTTGTGCTATTTCTTGGTTTTTTTTAAATATTTTTCTAATATTTCAGAATTTAAATGTAGGTTAGCAGCTCGAATGTACCAAAATCGATAATTATACTGTTTGGTGTCATTAATTCGCGTACCGTTTATATAATTCGAATATAGTTAATAATTAATTATAATTACAAAATAAATTAATAATTAATTATCAATTAATTAATTAATAATTCATAACTAAAATTTTTAAAATTTTTTCTTATATTTGTATGTTTTCGAATTGCGAAAATTTAAACTCTCAAATATATTGTCAAAATTAGAGTATAAAGGAGCCTAGTTTTGAAATATGTGATACATGAACACTACAATTATAATTCGAAGAACTTTAACTTTATTTTACATACTCTCTCTGTCATTTTTACATTATAAATAATAAGAAATTCTGATAAAATAAGAAAGAATAAATTAGCTTGCTACAATTTAGTGTTTATAAATAATACAGTGAAAACGTGCAAAATAACACGGAAAAAATTATATTTTTTTATAAAAATTAAAACAAGAGATAGAGATAAATTGGCAATTAGCTTTTGGTTTCGTATAAAAACAACTTGACTTGAAAATGATATTCCTGGCGATATCCTGGGGCGTGATATCAATTCAATCGTATATAGTTTCCGGGACTAATTGAGCGTGTAAATTATATTATTCCTCGTTTGTATAAAATAAAATACAAATTAATATTACATAACAAAATCACACGGATATTTTCCAATAATAAGTCTAACAAGTATTATTTATAATATTATAAAATAATAAGCAATTTTTTCCTTTTTCTTTTTCTTTTTTTTTTTTATAAAAAGAGAATCAAATGACCGAAAAACGGTGGTTGTTATCGATATACAGATATTTCATATCTTATTTTCGCGAACGAAATAACGATCGTCGTATAACTGTGCTCTGTTGCTGCGTGTTTCACAATTATTCGCACTTCAATAGCAGCAGTGAGCACGCTGGGCGAGAAGATTAAATTTTCATTTTTTTCGCGCCAGTGAAACACGATGTATTTTTTTCCGGGCCATACATCGCGCAACATCGATAGCCACCTAAAAAGACAAAAAAGTAACATGTAATTTTGATAACGCACATTTTCCTCTCATTTTGGTATATCGTGTCTCTTTCGAGGAAAATGAGTGTACAATTATTATCGCTTGCGTAAAAAATGGCAGACTCATAATTAACTGAGGGAGGAATTATTTTTTATTCAGTTATATGTAGCTTTAGAAAAAAAAATTTCACTCTCTGCGATATAATAGAACGATATAATAGAATATATATATTTTTTACAACTATGCGTTAATTGCTTTCGAAATGTCGCGCTTTCAGGTAAGTAAGAATTTTGCCGCGATATATTTATATTCTTTCCACGACGATTACCTCGATCCCGCTTTGACGACCCCGGTTCCGGTATAATATATACATACACATTACAAAAGTGTTTATACAAGCGCATTTGAGCGTGTTTCTGTGCGTGTATGTGTGTGTAAGGTTAATGGTGTAAAAAAAGGTATTTACATGAGAGGCTGGGGCAACTCGCGCTCTGTGTATCATACGTATCAGCAAGTCGTGTGTACCTTAGGTAGGGCTGTGAGAGAGAAGTCGCAGGGAGTACCGTGGAAACACACGGGACTTGTATTCAGTCCAACTCGATCCTCGAACTGGTCCCGTGTGCGTGCGTGCGGCGTCAGTCACAGCATCCGCGTGGTACTTGACATTTCGTGCGTTTCGCGTCGCAAGTTGTATCGCGAGATAAGCTACCCCGCTAAATAATTAGTAATACGAGTCGCGTTTTTCCGCGGACAAGGCAACCGAACTCCACTTTATGATATATATTTTTTTTTTTAATTCCGCGAGGAGAAAAGTCTAAATTTTCACGGCACTTAAAATATAAATTTGTAGAAAATCACGGAAATGTGTTCAATCGCGTATATCGTTTATTTTCAAAATAGATTTGGGGAAAATCTGTCGATGAACATCATATATATATATTTCATCGTTATAATTTTTATTAGAAACATTAAAATTCCAGACCTTTAGATTTCGTGAAAATTTTAACGAATAAAGAATTTATTTCGACATTTCGAATAATTTCGATTAATATAGGATAATTATATATACACTATGCATACATAAAATAATTATATAATAAAACAATAAATTATATTATATATATAAATATATAAATATACAGGGTGTCCCAGAACTGGCGGGAAAGTTTTTAATGGCAGATTCCTGGTATCATTCGGACACGATTTTTCCTCAGCGAAAATGTTGAGACACCAATAATTTTCGTATTATAAGCAGTTGAAAATAAAAGGCTTTTTGGAAACTGAGCCTTGTGGAAATAAAATATTAACCAAACTACATTCTTCAATTAATTTTAAGTAGAGTTTGTTTTAATAGAATTTTAATATAAGGCTTAGTTATATAAAGATACATAATAATAATAAAAATTGGGAACATGCTAAAATTGATGGTCTCCCTCAACATTTTTACTGAGGAAAAATCGTCTCCAAATGATACCAGAAATCTGCCATTAAAAACTTTCTCGCCAGTTCTGGAACACTCTGTTTAATTATATACAAATAAAGTAAATGTACTTCTTTGTCACATCTACTCAACGCTTTTTGTGCACTGTTTTTGTTACATCAAATTGTAAACATGAAGCCGATGAGACGAATAGCGATCCAAAGGAAACACGTGAAACACACATGAAAAGGTCGAAAGGATTTGGCTTGGTTTCTTTTTCGGAGCGGACTCGGATTGATAAAGAACTCGACACGACGGAGGGTTGAAGGATCGTCGATACGAGATCGAAGCGTGCTGGTGAGCGAGACAACAGATCCATCAGCGAAGATGAACGGCTTGACGGTTTGCTTGGTGCTCCTCCTCTCGATGATGCCGGGTGAGTCTGCAAGATAGAGAGAGAGAGAATGAGAGATTAGATTCCTATTAATTAAAATCCTATTATTAAAGTCCTGTTCTTTTAAATCTCAAACATATGTGTGCCTTCTAATTATGCTATATTCGCGGTCTGAAGATTAATGTAGATCTCCACAGTCTGCAGGGTTTGCTGCATGTTATCCAAATAAAATTATATAGATGATCATCTAGATGGAACGTTGGTATTATCTTATATAGATAATCTTATATAGATAATAAAAATATGTATTATTTATATAGATCTGCATCTTATAGATGACAAAATGTGTTATCTTTATCTATAATTATTTAGAGTAATATTCAGATATTTTGGTTTAGAGTCATAGCACTAAAAATACTTAAGCAGTAAAATAAAAATATGAATGTATTCTTATATCCCTTTTATAATTTACATTTTTTAAAACTGTTTGTATGAGCAGTCTTAAAAATATTATCTGGAAATTATCTAGATGAATCACCATATAATTTTATTTTTTATCTAGATATACTGAAAATGCTGACAGTCTGTGATATTTGTGAGTGACTATTAATTTTATTCCTATACCAGAATTTTAATTTCATTAGTTCGAAAAATATTGGACTAAGATTATAATCATATGAAATAAATAATTATCAATGAAATGGCAATCTTTAAATTTATATCTGATTTTAGTTTTTACTTTTTATGCTTGAATTTCCCTTTTATCTAACATCAAGCAACACTCGAAATATTAAAAATAACATGATTTCGTATCAGAAATTAAATTTTCACAGCTGACGCTCTGATTGTTATCAATCAAATGATTAACTAAATGGTGAAATAGAGAGCACAATTTTCAATTAAACGCTCATCAGCCGAACCCTCGCAATAAATGAAGAAATAAACGAAACAGGTTAATTAAATAACTAAAAAGAGACAGATTTGAAAATCGAGAAAAAAAGGAGAAAAAATTTTTGATTAAAGTATGTAATATTTAATTGTTTTAACATACTCTC